GATTTGTTAAAGGACAAGAGCCCAAGGAGTCCTTGTGCACAGGAAGGCCCCAGGGAGGGGAAAGGGGAATCGATTCACGCTGAATTCCCAGCGTTTTTAATCCCCCAACTACTCTTGGGGAGGCAAGGGACTTATATGTGAGGAAACTGGAGTTTGAAGATACTTTTAAAACTTGCTCATGATATGGTGCAACAGGATGAACCTTGAGAACATGATGCTAAGTGGATAAGCCAGTCGTAAAAAGACAAATGCCATGTGATTCCACATGGGGTGCCTAGAAGAGTCAAGCCCAAAGAGATAGGAGGTAGAATGATGTACTATTGTTTAAGCATTCACCACCTATCAACTGGGTGTTTCCAGTTTGGAGCTATTATAAATAAAGCTACTGTGAACATTCATGTACATATTCTTATATAGACATAAGTTTTCATTTCTTTATAATAAATGCCCAGGTGTGAAATTGTTGGTTAAATATATATTGAGTTGTTGGGGTTTTTTTGTTGTTGTTGTTTTTTTTAATGACCAAACTGTGGAGTGGCTGCACCATTTTATATTCCCATCAACGATGTATAGGCAGGTGTGGTGAACACACCTGTAATCCCAGCGACCTGGGAGTCTGAGGGAGGAGGATGGCAAGTTCTAGGCCAGCCTCAGTAACTTAGTGAGGCCCCAAGAAACTTAGCAAGATCCTGTCTCAAAATTTAAAAAATAAATAGATAAAAATTAAAAGTAAAAGGCTCAGTGTTTGAGTACACCTAGATTCAATTGCCAGTACCCCACCTCCCACAGAAAAATGCAAAACAAAACAATGAATGAAAGATTGAATTTCTCTATGTCCTTGCCCATATTTGGTAGGGTCACTTTTATTTTAATTTTTTTACCTTTAGCTATTTTTCTAAATGTGTAATGATCACTCATTGTGGTCTTAGTTTTCATTTCCCTAATGACTAGTAATATTGCAAATATCTATGTCAAGTTATGAAGTTTATGGTTGGTGTTTTAGTCAGCTTCTTCACTGCTGTGATCAAAAGACCTGACAGGAACAACATAGAGGAGGGAAAGTTTATTTGGCCCTCCCAGTTACAGAAGTCTCTGTCGGTAGTTTCCATTGCTCTGGGTGTTAGTGAGGCGGAACATCAGGGCAGAAGGGAGCGGTGGAGGAAAGCAGCTCAGGACATGGGAACAGGGAGCAGAGAGAGCTCTGCTCACCAGGGACAAAATATAGACCCCAAAGGCACACACCCAGTAACCTACCTCTTCCAGCCACATTAATTGACTAATCAACTAATTAGTTGATTAATCCACTGATTAGGTTACAGACCTCAGAATCTAATCATTTCACTTCTGAAAGTTCTTGCATTGTCTCATGCCTGAGCTTTTGGGGGACACCTCATATCTAAACCACAACAGTTGGTTTCGGGGCTTCTCTTGGCAAGTCATTTTACTCCCTGCAAGCCTCAATATTCTCATGTGTTTAATAAGAAAACTGAGCTATATGGGATATATAATGGGCTCTGCAGCTCTATAGTTCTATGTACCCATGAATCTACCCAGAGAGAATTTGTTTGCAAGATGAGAAGTTTTCAGTTTTGCCTTTGTACCTCAGTTATCCTCATCTGCTGAGAATTGACAAGCAATGAATCTTCTCCAGGAGCCTCACTGACATTTCCATGAAATGTGCGGTAACTTCATTTGGCCCTCCAGGCTGTATTTAGCATTCAGATCACATCATTCAAGCCTAAGCAAAAGTCTTTCACAAATCATAAGGGACTTTATTAATTTTCTGATTCATTGAAAAGACATTTGAATTCCTTTGTTCCCAAGGTTCACTATAGAGCATAATTTTGAGTGGATACCTCAAAATTTTGGTTGAGCATCAATTGAATGCCTACTGTGTGCAGATAAGATGGTGTTCTGTAAAGAGCATAGTTGTATACAGGGAGAAAGTTGGACTTAATTCATGCTTGTGCCACTTATTGACTATGTGTGCTAGATCATGTGTCATTACTATAATGAAATAGTTGAGGCAAGCTGCTTTTGAAGAAAAGAGGTATATTTAGTTCTGGAGGTTCAAGGGCATGGTGCTGATGCCCATAGCATGGCTCTAGGGAGACCTCACGGTGTCACGGTGGGTGCATGTATAGAAGCAAGGAATTACATTGCCAAACAGGGAGCCAGAGAGGCTGGGTGGGGACAGGTTCAAGTTTCTGTAACAACCCTCTCCCCAGAGCTAGCAAGGACCCTATCAGAAATGCCTTAATCCTTCCAAGGATACATCATCGATGGACCTAAAGAACCTCCCGCTAGGCCCAGGCTCTTAAAAGTTCTACACTGCCTCCCAGCTTGGTGGGAACAAGCTCCCAACACATGAACCTTTTAGGGGACAGACAGCATGCGAACCATGATGCTGTGTGACCTTGTTAAGAAACCCAATTTAACTGAACTTCTGCAATATGGGGACAGTAATATCCACTGGCAAAGTCGTCATGAGCAATAGTGATGATGTATGTGAAGTGTGAGCACTCAATAACTGGCGGCTGTGCAAAGTGCCAGTTTGTGTTTCCCACACAAACACTCTGAGTTCCCCATGAACTTTGGGAGACAGGCATTTACTCGTCCTGTCTTGTTAAAACTGAGGTTCAGAGAAGTGGAATAACTTAAGATCACCCTGATACTAAGTGAAGGAGATGGAATTCAAGCTGCGCCCTTAAGACGTTCCCAGCCTAGCCAGAGATAAGCTGTGCAGAAACAGATGAATACCCACACAGAGTAGCCAAAGTCAGTTAGGCACAGAGCCAAAAAGCATGTAGGAGTTCAGCGAAGGAGTTATTCTTGAAAATCAGGCAGTTGCGGGTGGGGAGGCACAAAAGGAAACAGAGGATTAGAGCTCACTGTTTTGCAGAACAACTTTGAGTTCCTCGCTGTCACCACCGCAGCTGCCTGTTGGTCCTGGAAGCCCAGCCCAGCTGCTGCAGGGAGGGGCATAGCGTTCAGCTCTTCACACACCCCCTCTTTGATTGGTAGCATATTTGCCTGTAGGCTCTCTCATTCACTCTAAAGCTCTATCAATCTCTGTTTTTTTTTTTTTTTTAGCATGACCACTAAAGCTCACTGCCAGAACTGTTATTTCTTCTGCTAACACAAAACCCAGGGTTTATTTTATTGAAATATATTCTAGATTGCCTTCTCTAAATTGATTTTCTCAGATGTGAGCCTCTGCCTGGGCCATTTTTGCCCTTGTTCACTTTCAGAACGCCTCTGGGCTCTGTGCCTCTACAGCCTGCTCCTGGTAGGTGTCACAGGGTTCATTCAGTTGATATGCACACGTGTTGAATATCCATCCTCCCTGCACGAAACTCTGCAGTCTCAGACCTCGTGGAACATGCGTTTGACAAATGGCTGATTAACTCATAAAGGCCATAGAACTTAATTTGAATATCAATAGCTACCGCCTATCATTAATAAAAAATCAGAGTAAACACGCTTTGCCGCTTTAATGAAAATCGAGCGTATGTCATGCCACACAGAGAAACTGCTAATTCCTTGTGGCAGGAGGCAGTCTGAAGACGTCATCATTGGCTCTATAAACAGGTCATCTTGTAGACCGATTTCAAGTCTATGAAGCAGGGCTAGTTTACAGATCTTTGAAATGTGATCTGGATTTCAGTGGCGAAGGCCAGAGTTGAATTAAAGCAGCTCGCCTTTGCTCTTCACAGATGCTCAGGGATCAATGACTGATTCCGTTTTTTGAAAGTAGGGTGGAAGGCAGCCAGGCGTGCAGCCCCTGGGGGTTAGGGCTGGTTTGGAAATTCCTGCCCTGTGTCATGCGCAGATTGTGTATTTGTAGCTGTTCTGTGCAAAACATGCAGAGTACATGCTTCTGGGTATTTTTTGCTTTAGTCCACGAGCGGTTTCTATTTCAGCAGCTCACAGGACTCCAAATGTTGCCCTTTTTATTATTCCAGGCTTTCACACGTCCCTCGGATTGTCACCTTTTAGAGCATGTGTCTTCTCACAGTGTTCCCGGAATTCTCCATTTCCCCAAGGAAAAATATAGAACTTTCACTGAGCTCAGGTATTCTTAGGATCTGCTCTGGCACTCCAGGAAGAAAAACAACCCAGCAGAGTCAGCTTCAACCTTGGGGTGCCTGTCTCATTTCTCCCTTGCTCTCCCTTCCTTCTCCCTGTGGTGGCCTCCCAGGACGTCCTTGGAGCCCCTCCCCTTGACTGAGTTTTGGAGGTGAGGCTGTTCCCTCAGGAGTTCCTTCTCCTCAGTTCCCCTCCCTGGTCCTGCTCTGCTTCTTGCCTCAGGCCCAGGTTGGCCTCCCCTTGCCAGGGACTCCAGGCCTTCCAGCTGCCACTCAGCTCAGCACCAAGGGACTCAACCTTCTGCCTCCAAACATCCCCTCACCCAACCCCAGACAGGAGACAAAGGCAGAAGCCCTTGTTAGGTTCAGGTAAAGGAGTGAAAAAAAAAAACAAGAAAGAAAAATCATACAGAACCAATTCTTCCTGGAAGAAGCCACTTCATAGACCTCCTAGCTTAAGTAGATGGATAAGAATTAGTAAAATTTGTATTCAAAGAACTTTCATTAACCAAAGACTCCAATGACAGAAAAGAAAACCCAGACTGTACTATATAGCTCTGTTGGCCTTGGGAATAACAAACATAAGTACCAGATATTTGGACCCCCAAGATGGCTGAGAATTCATATCTCAGCACCTCTTCTTACAGCTCTCAAGAACAGTGGTGCCTCATACAAGAATCTGTGAATTATATACTTGTCCTTAATATGTGGGGGGTGGGGTGGGAGGTCCCTAGAATGTTTGGGGTGCTTAATCACACACAGACACTACAATGACATATAAAGTTTATTAAACAAAAATGTTAATGCTGGGCTGGGGATGTGGCTCAGTGGTAGAGCACTTGCCTAGCATGTGTGAGGCCCTGGGTTTGATTCTCAGCACCACATATAAATAAATGAATAACCTAAAGGTCCATCAACATCTCAAAAAAAAAATGTTAATACTGCTGAAAACTTTGAAGAATTCAGCTTAGTCTGTGAATGGTTCTTCCTAGGCACCCGGAATGACACATGATCCCGGTGGGCTATTTCCCTTCCATGACTTCACCGGTAAGATGACACTGTTCTTCTGCACTGGTACATGAAGACTTACTAATTAAAATGCTGTACTGGTTCATTCAAGAAGTATTTAGTGAGTTTCTACGACATACAAGGCATCACGCAGACTGTGTAATATTACATAAACATTTTTAAAATAGATTGCCATAAATAAACACTGTGATAGGATTATGTAAGGCCTTTTAGATAATTTTAACTCTTTTTATAGACTACACGGGGCTCTAATTCTGCCATTTTGGATGAATTGACCTGTTTGTTTGTTTTTCCTCTATTTCCCCTCTCTTCCAAAATAATTCATTCATTTTAGCGTACAGCATACAGCCAATTTCCATCTATTTTCTAATGGTTTGGTTAGAGCTACCATGTTGGGTTATGCCCTCCACAACCCACTGAGGGGGCAACCATGGTCAATATTCACTCTCTGTGCTACTGGCCAAGCCATGTGACCTGGCCTGGGACCATGTTCACCCACAAATGTCCTTCATGGATTAGCTGTGCCCCTGCTCATGCCCTCGGTTGGTTCACAAGCTAGAAACAAAATAAATGGTCAGAATTTAATATTGTAATCAAACAAGAGTCACAAAGAAGATCCATTTAGTGGTACCTATGGCTTCATCTTTCTATATGGTAAGCCCCTCAGGTAAGTGGCTGTATTTAGTATTCTTTTTATTCAGCCACACCAGCTGTGGGGAAGCAAGAGGGACCTTATTGAAGAAAGAGGCCTCAGTGACGCCCCTGGAGCCACAGTTTAGGCTTCGCCCTCAGTCTTTCCACCAGTCTTCCATCTAGGGCACCTCAGGATCCCAGGGTCTGAGCTGAAAGACATCAGCATCTGCCCTTTGGTGGAACTTGACCTTCTTATTGAGAATCAAAGATGGCATCAGAAGTCCTGGGCTCCAGAGGAAGAGCTAAGAGGGCAAAGAGGGGCTCCCATCTACAACTCCTCTCACAGTGTAACTTCAGCAATCTTCCCCATTGAAACGTCAACAGTCCTCTTGAAGCTGAGCAGAATGTGATTTCCTTGACCAATTAGAGACGGCAGGAGTGACACTATGTGAGTGCTATGCATTTCTGCTTTGATTTCTCAGGAAACTGGCTCTGAGGAAGCTGGATGCCTTATAAGCAGTCTGACTGTCCTGAGGCCACCATGATGTAAGGAAGCCCAAAGGAACCTACAGAGAGAGACTGAATATGGAGAGAGACGCCTGGCCAGGACCTCAGCTGCTCTAGTCCTGTACTACTTTCCTTCCGGCCACCTCTTTGCCTGCAAATCCACTGACAGGCCACAAGCCAGCATTGTCTACCCAAGCCCTACTCAGATTCCTGACCTGCAGAAACTGTGAAAGATAATAAAATGATTATTGAAATCACTGTGTTTGGGGATTTGTTACATGGTCAGAAGGCCTTGGGACAAGCAGAGGCTAGAAGGGTGTTAGAGAAAGGGAGCCCAGAGTGAAAGGGAGATGCAGAGAGATAAAAGGCAAATGATTGAATGTCCTAAGAAAGAAAGGAGGTGAAGGCATTTCAGAAAGGGCAGTGGAGAATCATCCTCTAAGAATGGCAATGTGGTCAACTGGAAAATACCTGGCTAGAGATGGGCGACCTGTGCCCCCTCCAGCTTTGCTGACCACTGCATGAACTTTGGGAAAAATCCCTTCTCCTCCCTGGACTACATTCTGTGAACCAATAAACTGTGTGTGAAAAAATAGCAAACCCCAGAAAAGAGGAACTACAAAGCAAAAATGTATCCCCCTGCCCCAATTCCGGGGTCACCAAGCACTCTTCCAGCTGTGAGTCGGTGTTTCTTAGGTAGACTGTCCCGCTGGCACAAATCCCACTTGGCCCACTGGGCAGTTCTTTTTCTGACAGCACCTTAATACATTGGCACTCCACTTTCTGTATCCATCTGATCACCTAAGGGGACACTTGACCTGAACACAGGAGGACAAAAACCCCAGACAGTGGAGATCAAAATAAGGTGTGACCACTCTGTCAGACTCTGCCAGAAAATGGCCAGCTGGCCTCCCCAGTGGATGGCTGTTTCTCACGACCACAAGTGCAAACACTCTCGCCTGACCAAAAATAGAAGAGGAAAAACCAAGAAGTTCCTCAGAAGTAAGGAGAGAGTCGGAACGTGGAAGTTGTGGGAACAAGAGGAAGCAGAGGCCGGGGGAGTGTGGCCAGGAGAACCTGGTCTGGCTTCAAGCTGCTCTTCCAACCACTTTCCCTCCCTGCCTGGTAACATCGGCCACTCAGTACACGGTGTTTTGGTCTTGTGGTCTTGTGTGCTTAAAAAGAAAACAGTGAATATATGGTAGTTTTTAAAAAAGAAAGAACAGACGTAAACAAGTTCTTCATCTAATGTTCTTGATCAAAAATATTCAGTAAAGACAATTTAAAGACAAAACAGAGTGTGATGATAACACAGCTCTTCGTTTTCTCATATTTGGATTATGATACCAAATATTTTATACATTCTGATTACTGAGCATCTACAATCAGCAAATATGAACTAATGAAGTGACAAGTCTAAAGTTATTAAGAAGTAGTATAATTTGAACCATTGATAGTAAGAGTTTTAAAATTTTAGTTTTTTGGGTTTGTTTTTGTTTTTCTGCAGTGCTGAGGATCAAATCTGGGGCCTAGATAGGCAAGTACTTTGCTGCTGAGTTACATCCCAGCCCTAAATTTTAGACATTTAACAAAATTACCTCTTTATAGGTCTGGGGATGTGCTGAATGATAGGCCACTTGCCTGGCATGTGTGAGGCCCTGGATTGGCTCTCAAATACTGAAAAAAAAAAAAAGTCACCTCTTTACAACTTTTTGTATTATAAAATCCCCTGGGGAGACACAGAAATGCTGCAACTGCAGACATTCTTTTTGCCCCCCACCCCTTCATCCATTTGGGTCTATTATTGTTTTAGACCTAGGGCACAGCCTGGGGTGGACAAAGAGGCTTTCAGATACTCTGTCTTTGTTGAGAGCACCATGAAGCTGGAGAGTCAGACAGCTACACAGTTATGTCACCTGTATCACTTTAAGTGCCCAACCAAAAATATACTACATCCTAACTAATCAGATTGTAAGAAACCATTCTTCCAGAAATAAACTCATACATATTCTCTTTTCAGTGCAAGTGTAAGGCTAAAAGATGGTATGGAAATTGCCCATGGCAACACTAAAAACAAAAAAAACACAACTGTCCTCATATACAACTCAACAGGCCCTGGGAAAGAGCCCTGTACGGTGGGAGGTTAATCCACGGAATTAGGTGGGGACAGTGGAGGCTGCCACACTGAGTGTTTTTATCTCTGGCTCTGACGCTTGAAGTTACAGTCTGGGCCAATGGAGAGCAGAGATGAAGCCTAAGGTGCATGTTCAAAGCCACTTGTCAAAGCTGGGGCCATGATAATAAGTATCAGGTCTGACACATGCAGTCGAACAGGGTCAGAGAATTAAGACAGACAAGTATGTGACTGGCAACTCCTGAGCCAGTGGCCTCACACAGCAGGACAGGAGGTAAATAAGGTGAGGACTTTGGGGGTTGGGAAGAGTAAGGAGAATCAATGATTAATTCTCACAAGGGGACTTCCCTTTAGTCTCAGCACATATGTATGAAGGTGAGTCAAACCCAGTTATAATAAATCAGTATAGAAGAGACAGAAATAAGAATTGGACCTTCTGGAGATAAGGGTGTAGGCTCAATAGTAGAGTGCTCACCTAGCATGTGCAAGGTCCTGAGTTTGATCCTCAGCATGAAAAAAAAAAAAAAAAAAAGGAAGGATAAAAGAAAGAATTGAACCTTCTTCTGAGGCATACACATACTATCATTTTACATTTAAACATTACAGTTAGGTCTAGATCTCCATGGTTCCACTGGAGGTGACAATATGTTTGATAAGTATTGGTTTTAATTTCCAAAAGACAGGAAAGGTGAAGCCACCTCCACAGATCCAACCAGGCCATATTTTTAAGATTCCAAACTACCAGGCAGAGAAGCCATGAAGAACAGGGGACTTTTGCTTTCTCTCAGGCTAGGCTATGTGTAAAATGATCAGGCCATTCACAGGCTCTTGTAAAAACTTCTGGCCACTCATGAGGTTGTATTACCTATGGTAAGGTCACAATCAAGATGCCCATGATATTCAATGTTCTCGCACAGTGAAAATTCTCACAAAAGAAGAGGGACAAGAATGGGCATTTTGTAATATATTGAGGTGCCCATCACGTGGTGTTTAAGTGGAGACCGGATGCTGGAGTCTAAGGCATCGTAAAAGATCATTTCCTGTCCTGGATGAAAAGGTTCCTTCCAGCTCTGAGATTCTCCAATGTTGGAGAATCATCACTGAGAAATGGGGTGTAGAAAAGTGCCATGTCATGAGAGAAGCTGTACTTAAAGCCACGTGTGATAAAGGAGTCCATCAAAAGAGACTGAATGCTGACAGTCCTTGTGGAGCCAAAGAGCAAAGAAAATGTAGTGGTTCCCATCTTTCTGCCGTAATTACTCAACCCTTTAATGCCAAGACATGTTGTAGCTGCGGTCATGATCCTCAATCACTGGACTTGAGAGCAGGAGAAACAGAAGAGACTGTGTGGTTCCTAGGAGGGAGAACTGCATTCATGGATGCGTGTGGAAGGGTAAACGACTCCATTTTGCTCTGAAAGGAAAAGATGTTTTTGTTCAGATACACATATATTTCCTCACACTCAAAAATAAAGTATACAATGTTCAGCAAAACCTGAGAAGCAGGCATATTCAGATTGTACAGCCTGCTTAGTTAAGATTCTCTTGGTACTTCATAAATTTCAACTCAAATTCATAAAGTCCACAAGATAAAAGACAGGGACTCAGTCTGCATCATTCCTGATAGAGGTATGTAATTGTTAACAAAAAAATGTTTTTTCTTCAGCAACTTTCATTTATTGAGATTAGTGCTGAACTTTATTTATAAAGGAAATAGTAATGACCCACTAATTCTGAGTTGATTTTCTAGTAAAGGGGTTTGGTTGTACTAGGATCTACTAACATACGTTTGTACAGCAACTCCTAAATTGGGTTACAGTTTGTGGCTATAAAGCCAAGCCAAGCTCTTGACCCACCTGGGTTCTAAGTCATGATTGAGGTTTGATCAAGATTGGCTGTGATCCACTGGAGCAACTAGTAAAACCAGAGGCAGCAAATGACCTTACGAGACATGATAATCACTCTCATAGAAGAAGATGAACAAGAAAGGCCATTTTGTGATGTATCGAGGTGCCCTTCATGTGAATTTCGTTAGAGGCTGGATGACAGCAGGGATCAGGTCTGTCTTTTTTCATCGTCTCTCCCAGCTGCCAGTACATTTCCTTGAACACGGCAGGAATTTCATGCATACTCAAGGAATGAGTGTATTTTTTCCACAGTGTCAAGGTCCTACATATCGCCTTTTCCTCCTTCCCCTTTTCCTTATCCCACATCCCATTTTTCAAAGGTATCCACTCTTACACATTTCATGTTTTGAAAAACAAATTTAGAAGGAAAAGGATTTTCATATGATTGGGAAAGAGAAATCACTGTCAAAGTCAAAACTACAAATGACTGTAGTTTTGAAACAAAGTGCAATGTTCCCACAGAAGTCCATGGTAATTATTAATAAGGATATGGCTTGGCAAAAGACAGATCAAGATCACCAGATCTTTGACTTAGGAAAACAGACCACTCCCCTTGCAAGCGTTATTTATAGTGAGCATTCCCTTTGTAGTGGAGAGTTACCCCAGGTCCTCTACAATCCCAGAACTAGGGCGGACCCATTTCTACGCGGAGCTCAGAGTGGCAGATACAGAAAACAAAATCCTCAGGAGCTAAAGGCAAGAGACTATCTCCAGCTCCCTAGAATTCTTCCCTACACCTCTCACCTCGGGGCCTTCTTCTCCAGGCCAGGAAGCCAACTCCAGCCAGGACAATGGTGAGGACAATGGCCCCAAAGACAGCTTTCATCACCAGAAGGATGGATTCCGATTCTGGAAGCAAGCAGATGAAGAAAATCCACAAGTGTCCTTTCCCTCCTGATAACTTCAGGGACTTTTGTCCCTGTACTCATCAGGAAATCCAACACTGTTTTTCTTCTTCTTCTTCTTTTTTTACGATACTGGGGATTGTACAGTACAGTACAGTACAGTACAGGAGCACTCTACCACGGAGCTACATCCCCAGCCCTTTCTATTTTTCATTCCCGCTAAGTTGCCGAGGCTGGCTTTGAACCTGTGACCCTCCTGCTCAGCCTCTCAAGTTGCTGGGACTACAGGCATGCACCACTATGCCCAGCCCAACACTACTTTTCTTACTGTCATTTCTCATCATATGATGGCTAATAGACTATGTGTGTGTA